GTGCCAGCAGAGAGCCAGGGGGGAGCCTGACCCGGCTGTAAGGAGGCCTTCATCCTGTCCCGGGCCTGCCATTACCCTCTGCGCATAGTGCAGGCCACCTTCTGTTCCCAGGCCTGGGCCATCTCCTTTGGAAAATGAAATGCCCGACAAGATCCTGGGCTCCACAAGGGCAGGGAGCATATCTGTCTCTGTTTTACTGCTGTTGTGGACTGAATTCCAGCTCCCTTCACAGAGACTGGCACAGGGCAGGTGATCAAACAAGAACTTCTGGAATGAATTCATGACTTGTTGATCTTCAAGGTCCTTTTAAGCTCTGTGAATTCCAATATTGCTTAAATCACCACAAAGGATCTCCTATCACATCAGACATCACATCAGATTCTATAGACATTAAAAAGGATAATGAGGGAAATAAATAGATCTTTTACAAAAAGATAATGAGGTAATATTATAAACAACTTTATGCCAATAAATCCAATGACTTAGAAGAAATGAACAAATTCCTTGAAAGACACAAACTTCCAAAGTTCAGTCAAGAAGGAACAGGTAACACGAACAGCCCTGACCTGAATCTACTAACATAAATGAATTTTTAGCTAAAAAAACTTCCCACAAGGTAAATTATAGGTCCAGGTGGCTTTACTGGCAAACTCTACTAAACATTGAAAAATAAGGGGGGAATACCAATTCCATACAAACTCTTCCAGAAAATTGGCAAACCAACCTTGATCCAAATCCCACCTCTATTGTATCCTTTCTGCCGCTCTCTGAGCAACTCACTCTGACTCTTTGAACCTTGGTGTCATCACAGAAAATGGGGGTTGGTGATCACACCTCACAGCATTGTTCCAAAGGTCAGATGAGATAAGATATCTATGGGCCTCAGACAGAAGAAGTAGGGAACAAGTGGCAGCCACTGTGGTCTCAGGATAAGCCCCGGAGAGTGATCTGAGAAGGTCCCCGCCGAAATCCAATTAGGACACCCTGTTGTCACGCATGGGATGTGGGCTTTCTCTCCTCAACCTGGAAGACAGCTTCTTAGGCAAAGCTACCACAGCCTTAAATGAAATCTTTGCAGGATGGAGATTTCCCTCTTCACTCACCACCTGGAAGAGGAGCCTAGGAAGGGGGTACCCTCCCAAACCCAAGAGACTTTTCAGGGCTCCTCCATGCTCTCTCTTCTTAATCACTGCCACCTACCAATTTGGAGGTCATACCCATTCTTTACCCACACTCTCCAGCCCCAAAGTGGCCAGGATGGCCTGGAGTTCCTGCTCTGTTCCTCTGGCTGGTTCCTTCCTCTGCTCTCCTCATGCCAGGCCTTCTTTGCTCAAACCTCCTCTATGGACACCCTTCTCCCTCAGCCTCCTGACAAAAGGCCTCCCTTTCTCTGCATCCTACTTTGCAGCCCTTTCATCCTTCACTACAAATTACAAACGGCCTCTGGCTACACCTTTCTTAGCCTTCTTCCCTTCTGACTCCCTCCTGTGGGGCTTGATCCTCAGCAGGGCTTTGGATCAATCCCTCCTCCCCATCACTCACTTATTGTCCCCTCTCTTCAATATATACAGTTTCTCCCTCTATCAGCTGGCTTCTCCCCATTGACTTAAAAAAAAATTTTATGGTGGTAAAATATATGTAACAAAATGTACCATTTCCACCATTTTGAAGTGTACAGCTCAGGGACATGAAGTATATTCATGCTGTTATAAAACCATCACCACCCTCCATCTCCAGAACTTCCTCCTCTACCCAAACTGGAACTCTCTAACCATTAAACAATGATTCCTCACCTCACCCAGAGCCCAGAAACCACCGTTCTACTCTCTGTCTGTAATCGGCATGTGAATCTGTCATGCCATATGGCGTGTGCCCTCTTGTGACTGTCTTCCCATTGCCTTCTAAATGTACTCAAGTCTCTCCAATCTAAAAAAAAAAAAAAAAAAAAAGAAAGGAACAGAAACTGGCCCTGGAACCCTCGACTCTCTACAGCGCTAGCCCTACTTCTCTTCTGCCCTTCTTGAAAGAACTACCGCAGTGGCCTTCCCCCACACACTCCTGACCCTGCACTCCAGTGTGGCTTCTGGCTTCACCGCTTTCCCAAACAGCAGCTGCCTAAGGTCACCGATGGCCTCCCTGTTGCCAAAGAGAGAATGGCGCTTCTCAGTCCTCACCTCAGTGGGCCTCAGCAGCATCGGGCGGTGCTGACTAACCTCCTCTTTCTGTTACCCAAAGCCCCTGTGTAGAATTTCTGTCTACACCCAGTCCCTCATGCTCTCCTTCAGCCCGGCTGTTCCACGGCCTCACAGATAAAGATGACTGGCAACTTCTCCTCTCTAGCCCAGAGCTGTCCACTGAACTCCAGCCCCGTTTCATCAGCTGCCCACTTGACATCTCTTCACAGTATCTACGGGGCAGCTCAGATCATATCTGGAACCACAGTTCTAACCCCACCCTCCTCTCTGATCCTTGCCTACACAACCCAAAATATCTCCAAGCACTGGTAATCCCACTGACTCCAGCCAGCCAGCCAGAAACCCAAGAGTACCGGCGGCCCCTCTCCCTTCACCCCTCGCCACAGACCGACTAACGCCTCTGGACCACACATGCCAAATAGCTCGCAAATCCACTCTGTTCTCACGTTCACCCGCATTTCTCCTGTGCAGCAACTGTGAGCACTTCCTTGCGAGAGCCTCCTGACTGTGTCTCTCCATGGACACAGGATCACCGAGCAGATGGACACCAGCAACGTTTGCAGAGTGCAAGTCTGGTCATGCCACAGAGATTATCTCCTGACCACAGCGCCAGGACATGGCTCCTCTTTACCCTCAGCCTCCATGCTCACCACACACCCCCCACACGCTCCCCTGCCCCCTCCCATACGTGGCCTCACTAGGCTGTGGTCTCTTCAGGAGAGTCCTAGCCCTTCTCATCCTCTACGCCTACATGACTGTCTCACCTCCTCAAGGCCCCTGACATCCCTGACCAGGGAAAATTTCCCCCTAGGGGTTGTGGGAACACCTTAATCCTGTCCTTTGTAGTTCTCTGTTACAACTGTCTATCTCTCTGCATGATGACTGATTGTAGCTGTGGGCGGTGGCCCGTGAAGGGGCCCAGCCCACTGGGCTCACCACTGTATCCCCCAAACCTATCTGAGTGACGGCCCACAGGAACGTGAGAGCAGCTATCATCCACTGAGGTAAGTCCCGGGTACTCGGTGCTCTGCATGGTCTTCTGGCTCACTCCTCCTAACCTGTGCTGTGAAGAAGGTACTGCTATTCTCCCTCTCCACGCATGAACAAATGGAGGCATAAGGAACTTCCGCCTGATCATTCAGCTATTAAGAGGCAGAGCCAGGGTTTCAACCCCAGGCAGGCTGACTGGAGATCTATGTACCGACAACCACCTTCTACTCAGTACCGTCCATATTTGTGAAAGGGGGAAAGGGAGGGAGGGAGGGAGGCGAAGGTGGATATTCAGGTAACACTTTACACGGAACTAGAGGTTACACTGTAGCACTTCATGAGGATTTCTCTGGGGCATGAGAAGGAAAAGGAGAAAGTAGGGAAAGCTCCTCCCACCTCCTGTGCCTGATTTTCTAGACTTGCCAGAGTCCAAGCAGCCATGAAGCTCCAGCCTCATCTCCCTCTATAGGGCAACACAAATCCGTCCCCACCCCCACACCAGTCAGACCTGTTTGGATGTCTCCCTCATTTCCTATGCATCTCTGTCCTGCCAATACCACTTCTTAGAATGTCTCCCTCTTCCTGTTTCTCCGAATCCTGCCCATATTTCAAAGTCTAGCTCTGGTGCCCTGTCCTCCAGAGAGTCTCTTGCTAACCAATCTATTTCTTTTAATCTGCCCTCTTCTACTTTATAATAAAAGTAATATAAAAGCCCCAAATGTAAGGTTGGATAATAAATAGGAACTGAAAGCATATAGAGTCGACTCAGTCAGATATTATAGTGACAGAAAATGATATTATCATCAAGGAGTTGAGAAAGAAAAGAAAACAAGATGGCAGCCACCTGCAAAGAAGTTTAAGTTCATCAATCCAAGTTCCTTCATACAAGGGTTCCTAGGACTATGGGCCTCAGATGGAAATTGGGCCATGCAAGAAGCAGCTTCTTCCCAGCTGGTGAGTTCCTGAGGGGCAGGCAGTGAAACGGAAGTAGAGCCTTGTGGCAGAGGAGGGGAGAAATGAGGGTGTACTGGAATAGTGCTGAAAGGGCACTTATGATCACTCCCAGGATGTGCTCCATGCCCATGGAGTCCTAGGCAGTGTACAGAGCCTGCACATTGACAGAAGAACACCCAAGCTTTACATGTTTATGCAGAAAACAATAAACACGGATGGTCATGAGTGAGGTGAATGGGTTTGCAGACCTCTTGCGCTAGTTTTGATATATGTGTCACCCAGTTTTGTTTTGACTATTTGTTTTGTTTGTTTGTTAAAATCTATTAACAGAACTTTGTGGCAGGAGTATTTCTCAAGTCCCCATTAGTTTTGAGAATTCAGCATATGCTACCTGGAAATACTTCAGGAACTAATTCTCAAGGGGAATTCATGAGGCAATACGTGAATTCGAATGCCATGTCACATAGCATCATCTGGTTGATGAGGTCTCACAGTACTTGCATACTATTTTACAGCTTCTCAAACACACCCACATTCATTGCTTCGCTTACTTTTCCCAGCATCCCTCACTCATATTCTCTGCCATGTTGTCCCTCATGCAGTTTTCTGGGAAAAAACCTGGCAGCTACAGGGACAGCAGAACTCTCCTTTCTCGGGACACTGGACAACTCTGTTAATGCCACCTGAGGCCATGGGGGCTATCTCATGAACACATCACCAGGTTGGGTCTTGGACTCCAGGACTCAGCAAGGTCACGGGACTTAATTAGCGGCTATGATGTGCCCCCAGTAGGTGGGGTCTACATTAGAGCCCACACTGTGGTCTTTCTCTCACTCCAGATCTGCACAGAAGAAATTTTACCTGAGAGTTCATCAGGCGAATGGTGGTTTTCGTGCCCACGTCTCGTTGGAAACTGGCTGTGGGAGCCCCATTAAACCTCAGGACTGCATCATGATCATCTATAAACCATAAGGAAACAGAAGAGAGGTGATGAGCACCAGCAACATGCAGAAATAGAGGAAGGTCTGGAGGGAGAGAGGGCAGGAAGAAGGGGAGGGGCAAGAGAATCATACTTCCCACTCTTTATCCCATCAGGATCCCCATCAGAGGGGAAAGGATCATATTTGTAAGGGGCAATCTGGCACAGTTTGTAGACCGGGCATGACTGCCTGCTTGCCTGGCCACTGCAGAAGCTAACGAGGCTCGTATTAAGCACCCCTGAAATCCCTTCCATGACTCCAGCAAGCCTGCGCACGGCAGAGGGGTGATCCGGGCGGGCGCACTGTCTCACATGGGCTCGCTACCCCAGTCACCAAAGGAGCAACCCAAATACTTTCTTAGTGTAACCAGTAGGTCATACTTCCATCCCTGTCAGAAAAATGACGCTACCATAAGCTCAGTGTCACCCACAAGTGCAAAGTCCCCACAGCCCTCTGAGAACTTGCAGCACTCAGCTAATCAGAGGGATTTACTGTGGTTTTCAAGACAACGCCCTGTGTGTGCCATTAGGAACCTGAGGCCAGGGAAGTGTCACAAGCCTGGGTGGTGGCAGAGATGGAAAAGGAGTTCACAGATCAAAACTGAATCCCCCATTTGTCTACTGAAAAAGAAAATCTCTTTTGTCAGAAACAAGGTCCTAAATCCAGGCAAGATCAAACAGACCACGTTTTTAAAAATCCATTTACTCCCTGGCTCTAGTTCCCTGTCCCTGTAGCTGTTTCAGCAGAGTTTGGAAGACTTGGAGAAGTTTCTTTCTGTGTCACTGACCAATCTTCTGGGAGAGAGAACTAAGTTGACTTTTAAGTTCTCTCTCAACCTTCAGCCAGCCTCCTAGGAGCTCATCCCAACTTGACTTGATCAAGCAAGTTTGGGGCTCACCACTGAAATCTGCCCAAGTTTGGGAGGTCAGCCCAATTTTCTGTTGTTCTATTTCCCTCCCTGTGGGAAATTTATCTGGGGTAGTTCTTCATTCACAAAGGTGACATCAGAAGGTGGCAGGGTGGAATTTGGCTCAATACAAGATGATTTGGAAAAAAGTACCCACAGAATTAAGGGATGAAAGCCTCCCTCTTTATTTCATTTCTAACATATGTTTTAAACCTCGGGACTCTAGACATATCATGTAGTCACAAAAACAACCCTATCTCAATCCTAGGACAAATTTCATCAAAATGGTTTGAAAGTCACATGGGATGTACATAGTCCAGACTTTATCAGCTTACAGGGCCAGTACCCTGAACTTCAAAGAGGGCAGAAGGTGCCTCTTTACACAACTTAGATTGCAACATGTCAGTCCATATCAGTCACTGGCTTCAAAAGTGACCAGCAGTAATCACACCAGAAACGCAGATGTATCAGAAGCCTCACTCGGTCAGCCTCCCTGTTTCACAGGTGAGCAAATTATTAATGTGAGCATCCCCGGACCAAAACATGGCAAAGTCAGATGGAGTTGCTGAGAATAAAAGGACTATTTACAATGTTGTAGGCAGGATTTCAAGAAATGAACAAGGAATGGCCAATAGCACAGGGTCAGCTGCAAAAGCGGCCACCACTACTCCTCAAACCTGATAGGGCCAGAAAAGCAGGGGCCCTGAACTGAAGATGGCCACCCATGGGGAGTGGTGGCCCTAAGGGGAACATGGCTCCTGCTAAGTAAGGTCCAGCTGGAAAGAAGAAAACACCCCATCCTCTCTTTCCTCCTTCCCTCTGACTTCTTGGCCTTAAGGAAAAGGGAGAGAAAGCAGACCTCAGACAGAGAGTTTGCTTGAAAGGGGCTAAACTGTGAGCCAAGGGAAAGCAGGAGCTGATAGTGTTCTGCAAGGAGAGAGCTGGAGGGACACTGACTTCACTCTCCTCCTTCTCAGGTTTGGAGTAGCACATCTATTGTCTGGTGCCAAATAAAAGCCAAAGGGCCAGGAAGTCCAGCTGACACAGTCACCAAATTCATTCTCCCAGGGCACAGAGTCTGACAGAAAAGGGAGGAAGGAGCTTGGGCTTGGAGGGGTAAATGGAGAATGCCCAGCACAGGAGGCTGACGATCCACCCTTGGTATTGACCATAAGAAAATAAAATGCTTTTATTCACTCAACAAATACGGATTAAGCAGCTCCTTCCCATCAGGCATAGTTCTACATGCTGGAGACAATGGCCGTTACAAGAAAGAAAAGTGCCTGCTGTCAAAGATCTTGCAATCTACGGCAAGGAAGGAGCCAATAAATGCAACCACCTACCCTTGAGATAATGACAAACCGCGACCGATGTTATGGCACAAATAAATCCAGTGGTGGGGCCGAGACACCGAGGGACTCTCCTTTGGAGACCCTGATGATTCAGGACACACCTTGGAGCTGAACCCAAAGGAGGGTCGAGCACGGGAAGGGTCCAGGGAAGAACATTCCAGCCGGAGGAGGTAGCACTGTCAGGACACCCCAGGGCAGTAAGGACTTGGCTGGAGACGAGTGAGTGAGGGGAAGACGAAGAAAAGATGGCGCTAAAGAAGCTGGCAGGAACCAGGCCACACGGGCTGTGGAGGCCAGGTATGAAGTTTGGACTTTATTTTAAGGGAAAAAAAAAAATCAGACAAAAAAGGAAACTTGCAAATAGGCCATTAAGTTGGCCTCACAGAGAAAGAGGAGCACATCCTTGTCGGCCAAATTGTCCTTTGCTGTTGATGACTGAAGAGGTTCTGAAATCAAGTGGGCCTCCAGGAAGTTACCAGGAGAAATCAAGAGGTCCTGGGGGCCCAGCAAGCGAGCCTTTGCAAGGGGAAGGCTGCAGAAAACGGGGGCCACCGCTTTTGATGAACTTAGAATTAGAGGACAGAAAAAGACACAAAATAGAAAATGCAGAAATAAAGGCACTACTATAGGCACAGGATATGATTCCATGCCTAGACTACTCAACAGAATCAGCTCCTTAGTAAATTCATCAGTATACCAAAATCCACTGCCTGCGGGTATAGTAGTAACGCTAAATAGCTGGAAATTGTTACGAAAGAAATTTTATCACAATTTAGACCAAGGGTTTGTTTTTTTTTTAATATTTTCAAAGTAGCTTAATGAATCATATAATCATATTTGGAAGGCTAAATTCTGGTCCTGGTTAGGAAAAATCGATATAAGAGAAATCAGGGCTGGGAAATTATGACCTGAAGGCCAAATCTGGCCCATTCTCCATTTTTGTAAATAAAGTTTTATTGGAACATAGCCAGGCCCATTCATTTATGATGGCCTAGTTTGCTTTTGCATGACAACAGCAGAGCTGAGAAGCTGTGAGAGACACTATATTCCTCAAAACCAAAAATATTTGCTGTCTGGCCCTTCACAGAAAATGTCTGCAGACCCCTGATATAAACAATCATATTGTTCCCTGATATAAACAATCATATTGTTCCACAACCCAACATGTCTTTCTTCTCAGTCCTCACTCTGCACGAGAACTCCCTCTGCCCCAAACCTGCCCCAACTCCACTCCCCTTGCCTTCCATCATATGTCCTACACCTGCTTCTCCCTGGTCCTTCTCACTGGCCTTCTGAATGTCTCTGCCTTCCCTGTGCTTTTCCCTGTCTCTTAAATGTACACTTTCCCTAGGCTTTCTCCTCAGCCCTCTCTCCAGGCCTACAACTGTCACCTCGGCACAAATGATTCCTCAATCTCGTCTCCCCCCACCTGACCCTTCCCGGGAATCAAACACCCAACTGCATAGATAACTACTCAGGGAAATCCACACATAATTCAGATTCAGCACCTCTGAGACAGTACCTGTCCTCCTTCGAAAGCATGCTCCCCTGTGATACGAGATGACCTGTTTCCAGGCTAGAAACCCTGACTCCTGCCTGTCACTCAAGGTCACTTCTAATTAGACACCAGTTTCTGTCTCTTCTCAAATCAGACCTGTTCTTTCCACCACCACGATCACTGCTCAAACAGGCCTGGCACTTCTTGCCCAGAAGTGGCAGTAATCCCTAATAACAATGACATAGCAGTCCCCATAGGCAATGGGGTTCAGAGAAATGAGAAATCTCTCCAAAACGTACACGATCCTAACACTTGCTCATTTAAAACTCTTCTAGGACTCTATGGCTTAAAGAATGAAACCCAAAGTCTTGATTGTGACCGGCAATATTCCGTAGGAGCTGACTCCTGCCTAGCTTTCTGGCCTTAGTCCTCCTCAGTCCCCTTCACCCTGCAGGGCCCCACATCCCAGCCCATCATACTCTGTCCTTTGTCCCCATGCAGCTTTGCTTCTTGCATTTGCCTCAACTCAGAAGGTGCTTCTCCTTTCCTGTAGGAGAGCAAGTAAGCAAGAATATCACGGGTTTTAACATCACACTCAAAATTTTATTATAATGCTACAACCACTACAGGCACAAGAGCAGAGGGGAAGACTGTGCGGGCCATGGAGTCAAAGGACCCGGTTTCAAGTCCTAGTCCGCTATTTACCCCTTGTGTAATCTCTGAGCCTCAACACTTAGGTCACCAGTTCAATGGGAACAATAATTGTCCCCGCATCACAGGATTCCCAGGAAGACTAAAAAGCAAGGCATGCTGGGAGCACAGCAGGTGCACGGTAAGCATGACTCTTGTTGCTTATGTTTTAGAAGAACACTATTGTTTGAAATGAAAACACAAACAAATCTAAGGTATCTTATGGGTACATGTACTAAAAATAATTGAAAACAGCCATGCCCACCTCCGGCTGGTTTGAAGGACTGCTGGAGACACACTCCATCATTCCAATCCCTCTGGTAAACAATTTTGCCATGGACAAAAAGAGCCACAAAACTTATCTGCCTTTGGTCTTCTAGCCCCACAGCTGTGGATAGTTCCCCTGAGGCATTTAAGTCATCTGCACAAAAACCCTGTTAGCAGTACAATTTGTAAGAGCACACAATTTGAAACCATCCAATACACTCAATAGTTCACAAGAAACGGGACAAATTGCAGGTAGAGGGGAAAGGCCATGGGCTTGGCACGCTGCCTGGTACTCCCAGGCCTTCAGCAAAGGGCCTTCCCTGTCTCTTTCCCCTTTGTATTCTAAGCTCTGGCTCTGTGTGGTTGAAAGCTCCATGAATGAATAAAAGAATGAACGAATTCCTTAAAACATTTGTTAGATTAAATGCCCAGGGGAATGCCCTGTTGGAGGGCAGAACACTGGAAGGCCAATGTGCAATGTTTGTTCCGTCTCAAGAGCAAAGTCTCCAGGGAAGTACATCCTTGAAATTATAACTGTAGTCTACAGGAGAAGATTGTTTTACTCTGCATGTAAATCACTCCAAACTTTCACGCAGTGCGTCAAGAGTGTAGCTCCAGTTCATAGATGTAACAGGCTGTGCTGAAACCTTAACCCATTCCGGCCAGGCCATTGGGGATGAGTTAACACGAAGAAGAGGATCCAGTAGCACTGGGGATATTGGAAACATGACGATTATAGAGCAAACATCAAGAGGAAGAAGGGAACTTAGTTCCATTACAGATGAACAAAAGCCAATCACATTGCGCTTCTAGAAAACAAAGTGCAAAAGAAACCAAAAAGGCAAAAGCAAAAGTCGGGGTGGGGCCGGTTATCTTGGCAGTCTGGATTAGTGAGCACTGCTTATTTGGGAAGGCACAAAAGGTGATCTCACCACTTCCTCCTGCTCCAGAGAATCAAATTTGGTTCTACTTTTCTTCCTTTGAGAGCCTGAGCTTGGTTTCAGACCATTTTTCCTGGCAGTCACAGGAAGGGAATAAAACAGGAGATGTATGACCTCACCTGCTCCAGTACCTTCCAGAGCCTGTGAGAAGAGCGAGGCTTCCTGTGCTTTGCTTCCTTTAGCCTGATTGATTTCACAATAGTGGAAAACACATTCTCTCAAAATAAGGGAACTAGGGTGCCTTAAGCAAATCCATTGCTGTGTTGTACACATATTTACAAACATGGAGAGACTTTCTATCTTTATTAACTGTGAAGAATTAAAAAAAAAAAAAGGCAAGTTGTTATATTCTGAACAGTGACTTGTAGCCTTTTTTGGGTCACAGACACCTTTAAGAATAATTGACTGGAAGCTATAGACTTTTTCTCTGGAAAAATGTACAGACTGACTTACCACACACACACATACACACACACACACTTTATGCACACCTAATTCACAGGTATTTGGCACATAGCTTTAGGGATTCGTGAACTCCCTAAAGTTGGTCCACAGTCCCAAATTTAAGAATTCCTACTCTAATTAATGATCCTCAAACAGAAAGGCTGAAAATTACTCGGGTAGTTTGAAGCCAAGAAAGACAATTAGTCCTCAACTAGCCATGAAATTACAGTTTCAGAACCTGAAGAGACAGGAGAAATCAGTGCTTCTATAATTTTTAAAAGTCAATTACAGTGTGGTGCGTACTGATAGAGGCAGAACTCATTTTTCCAACAGTATCTTCTACAGAACAGCACTATTTAAAACACAATAGCAAAGCTGTTCTCACTGATAAAGATACCAAGAGCCTGGATGGATCCCCACCCTTTTGGCTGCCCCCCGGGTACCTCTGAGGCCCACAAGAAGGCTGTAGAAACTGTGGTGTGCCCAGTGTGCTCCTCCCCAGCCCTGACCAAATACCCAGCACCCCCCGGCCCCCTGCCCAGAGTGGCCCTAACGCTGCAGAACCCACCTATTTCTCGGCCCAGCTGGGAGGACTTCAGAGATCCAGCTGATGAGACCACAGCACACCTGCCCCATGGCCCAGCTTTGGTCCTGATGTTCTCCTTGGGCAGGAAACCCTCCCATTCAGAGGTATTGAAGGGAAAATCTGTGGACTCTACCATGGAGACATTCACATGATCCCGGAGGTGGCAGTGCAGGGCCTCTGCGCTGAACTTGACGCCTGGCCCTGGCCCCTTATAGGACACTTTGTACTTGTTCATATTCAGATAATTCCTCCAGATCTTCTGCAGCCGGGGGATGAGGTTTTTGGAAGAGCTGTCCTTGTTCCACACCTGGAAGGAGGCCTCAGGCTTGGGCTTGACTGGGCCCCGGGGAATGCTGAAGGACTGGTTGATCCTGGGGGGGTTCTGGGTGCTGCTTGAAGTTACAGCCTGTTTCTCCAGACCTTTCAACAGCTGGAATTCCTTGGTTTGCAGCTTAAGGGAATCATAGTAACTCCCTTTCTTCTTTTCCTTCCACACACAGATGATTGCAAACAGGAGAAAGGCCAGCACGCAGCAGCTGAACTTTCTTTTCAGGTTGGTGTGAATCATAATGAAAGATGTGTTCAGGGCAGCCACTCTGTTCTGAGCAGAAAACAAGCCTAGAAAAGGTAAGATGAGGCAAAACAAAAAAACAAAAACAAAAACAAAAAACAAACCCAAAAACAAAACAACAACAACAAAAAAACCCAAAAAACAAAACCAATGTGAACAAAATCTACAAGTAGTGCCTGGCAAGAGGTGGGGTGATGAGCTGCATGATGGATTCAGAGTGAGGAGACGCACGTCCAGCCTTTGCTTTACCTCCCACCAGGCCGGCAGCCTGTAACAACCTGAGGTAAACATTCGAACTCAGTTTTGGTTTAGTCCCCAGACACTCCCCTTTTCCTCTCCGAGCCATGAACACTTTCTGTATTCTCCTGCTATTCCTTTTTACACCCCAGCTCTTAGTTTTGTGTTGTTCTAGCTCCCTGACTGCACCCTGAGCTCGGTGAGGTTGGGAACTACAGCTTACACAGGCTCCTGGGGCCTTATGCTGTCTGTTCAACAATGGCATGCGTGCTTGAAAAACTAGGAGAAAAAAGGAAGAGCAGGATGGCTGGTCTTCCTCATAAGAATCCAACCTCTCTAAAATCCTAAAGTGCCCAGCATCCTTTTAAAATTGCCAGACCTGGGGCGCCTGGGTGGCTCCGTGGGTTAAAGCCTCTGCCTTCGGCTCGGGTCATGATCCCAGGGTCCTGGGATCGAGCCCCACATCGGGCTCCCTGCTCAGCGGGGAGCCTGCTTCCCCCTCTCACTCTCTGCCTGCCTCTCTGCCTACTTGTGATCTCTGTCTGTCAAATAAATAAACAAAATCTTTAAAATAAATAAATAAAATAAAATAAAATTGCCAGACCTCTGTCCACAGACAGCACCACAGACCCATGACACATTTCTCTAAGAAGCTGCAGGGTTGGACTCCTGCTTTGAGAAGAAGACCAGTAGTTAGCTTACAGCACAACACCTGGCTTCACAGAATGCCCTTCAAGAATGCCCAAAAGAATTTAGGTGGCAGGAAGCTGCCTCGGCTCGTGGTAAAGGAGAGGAAATTTTGGTAAGACGGCAGACACCAATTAAGGAGATAAAAACAAAGAGGTATCAAGCATTAAGATGTTACATCACCTAATTTCACTGTAGACCAGGGCCCGGTCATGTAGACCTCCAGCCAGCACCACGCACATGACAGCCTGGTAGGAAGGGCACCCCCTGAGCTGTGCAGCGAGGCCTGACCATAACTGGCCAGGAAGGTGTCACAGTCTCCATGTCTATAGATGAGCAGCCCGAGGCTCTGAGAGGTTAAGAGAAGTGCCTAGCATCAGAAAGCTAAGTAAACGGCAGCACTGAAGTTCAAATCCAAGCACACTTGATTCCATAATACATGTCCTTTTCAACATAAACATGCACAGAACTGCTAAAGTTCTGGCAAATGGATTTTATTACAAAAATAGAGCCTCACAGTTCCCTTTATATCTGGGTACAGCTCTACTTTGTTTTCCCAGAATTTATTGTGTAATTGAATGGAAGATGGAAGTACTTTGAACTCAAACAATGTCTGTACCTTTTGGAAAACATTAAATTCTTTCCTAAATAACTGGGTTTATTTACCGTAATGAGTCTAAGCAGTCACCCCTGGGGTTTTGCAAACCCACTAGGGATCCACAGTTCCTTCCTATGGAGTCCAGGGCTAAGGATATCCGGGACAAGGGATAGGAGTACTGGACTAGGTATTCACAAAACCTGGGTTCCCGCCCATTCTTGGTGACTTTGGACAAGTCACAATCCTGTCTCTACCTAGGTTTTCTGTAGAATCATCTCTCGTGTGCTCACAGAGTGCTGGGAGGACAAGCGGAAATGGTGTTTGAACCAGGTCATTGAAAAGGCACAGGAAATGTTCTGAACAGAGACCAGAGAGCAGTCCCTTGGCTGGGGGCCATGAGGAGGGGGTGCGGGACAGGGAGAGATAGATGGCAGAATGGAACACAGGCCATGACTCATCAACCCAAGCTCACGTGTTCATCTGAGACTCTTTAATGTAAGTGACATCAAGACCATTCCCGGAATTCATGGGCAGTACTGAGCAAACCATGCTTCCCACCACCCCAGACTTCAGGAACGGGTGGCTCTGGGGATAACAGGCGCTTGCCTTGAGCTGCTCAAGTGACAGAATGTACCCAGAGGGAGAAAAATTCAAACGCGTGGTCATGAGATGGGAAGAGGGCTTGTGGCAGATCAGAAAACTAAGGAACTCCATTTCCTCACTCAGCACAGCTGATCCCTCAGCTATGAGAGCTAAAGAACTCAAGAAGGGAATGGAGCATTGAAGCAGTGCCTACAACGGGGCAGGCACTTAAGCTGCAATGTCTAATTTAATAGTCATTGTGCCCCTAATGGCATCGATATCCACAGACCGACTGGAGAAAATGAAAACACTGAGGCTTAGCAGAGTTACACGGCTTCTCCAAAATGAACAGGTAGTACCAAAACCCGGATTCCAAGCCAGGTCTGTCTGACTCCAAAAGTTCATGGTTTTTGCACTGAAAGACAGGCCTCTGTATTAAAAAGACAGTGAAAAGTCACTGTTGGCCAAATAGGACTCAGGAATCAAGGGCTGTACAGGGGCAAGTCAAACGGCCAGACAATCCCAGAAAAACCCCCTTGGCCTTGGGCATGCTGCAGCCCTCCCCGGCCAGCACTTTTTTCCCCTCAGGCAGCCCGTTCAAGGTTATTGGGCTTACGAGAGCCAGAAAAACCCTGTCACGAAAGCACAGCAAATTGTATTGGCTCCATTTATGGTTGGAAAACTGAGGTTTTAGATACATCAATTTATCATTTATTTATTTGATCTCAAAAGCTGCAAGAGTGATTGGGAAGCTGTGCAGCTAAAAGTCAGGACTTAACTTTTCTGTGTAGGAGTGAAATGAGACAGGAGATAGTGAGGTGGGACCGCATTCAAGGTCTAGGAGCTAAGGCTCAGAAGGGGATGGTGGTCACCTTCCTGCCAGCACCTACACTCCAAGACTGAGGGTCCCAGAAAAGAAGAGCTCCTCCAAAGAGCCAGGCACAAGAGTTCTGCCACTTTTAAGAGGACTTAGCCTTCAGGGTCCTGGCCTCAGGACACTCATCTGAAAGCTCACCTTGGAGCTCCCCAGGTGTCCTGACGCACCCTCTGTTGAGGCTCCAAGTGCACCGTCTGGCTGGCTCTGTGTCTATGAGCAGAAGCTCATAGACACAGAGAGCTTCAAGACCCTTTTTCCCCCCTCTCTACCTGCTCTAAAGAAGCAGGGACCGCGGTAGTTCCCTCTAAGCAGCCCAAACTGAAGGAAAGGAATAGAAAATTCTTCCCCCCCCTGATTCTTTGGGAAAACACATCAAGCTTTGAGTTTTCCAGATGTCGTAGCCTCTGCACTTTTGCGCTGCTTGTCCACTTGCCTGGCAAACAGACAGGGTAACCTTTCTGCTTCCAACCTCCCACTGAGCAGCAGGAGTGGGAGAAGGAGAAACAGGCTTCTTGCAGAGCAGGGGGCCCAATGTGGGGCTCGATCCCAGGGCCCTGGGATCATGACCTGAGCCAAAGGCAGACACTTAAGGACTGAGCCACCCAGGCACCACCGCCCCCATTCATTTCTAGTGTTTAGCAATGCTAGCTTTTCCTGCTGACCCCCTGCTAGAGGGGAACTCCTCCTGGCTCATGCTTGAAACCCCAGTGTCCAGCAGAGTCCCCGAAATTGACAGGTACTCAATAAAGCATTACTGAACAGATACAACGATATCAATAAATCCTTACAACCCCCACCAGGCTTCTAGAAGAATCCAGTAACAACCCACACTGTCACCTATAAAGAATAAGCCAACCCTGAAGCCGCAGAAAGAAAATCTCAAAGTAAGGTTCCTGCCCTGGTTTACTCATCACTACATGCCCAGTACCTAAGGCAGGGCTTGGCACAAAGGAGGTGTTCAAAAAGGGTGGGCTGAATCACAGAGTAACTTCAAATCTCACACTTATGGTTTATGGACATGGGCAAACCTCCTGTCCCCAGCCCTCCCTGAATCAGGACTAAATAAATACATGAAGAAAAGAGCAAAGCTGGAGTCAGACCTTGAGACTCTGTGACTTGTGGCCGGCACACTCCATTACCCCATTTTTTAATTAAGAAAGGACCCTTTTGTATCAACATGGACGGGACTGGAAGAGATTATGCTGAGTGAAATAAGTCAAGCAGAGAGAGTCAATTATCATATGGTTTCACTTATTTGTGGAGCATAAGAAATAACACAGAGGACATGGGGAGATGGAGAGGAGAAGGGAGTTGAGGGAAATTGGAGGGGAAAATGAGAGACTATGGACTCTGAAAAACAACCTGAGGTTTTGAAGGGGCAGGGGGTGGGAGGTTGGGGGAGCCTGGTGGTGGGCATTATGGAGGGCACGTATTGCATGGAGCACTGGGTGTGGTGCATAAAAAATGAAGTCTGTTATACTGAAAAGAAATTAAAATTTTAAACATGTGCTAAAAAAAAAAAATGGACCTTTTTGCTGCCCCCACAGTGCATGCTTCCATGTGTCCCTTACCTGCTTTTGGCTAATCTCCCTGGGGCTGTAGGCCCTTCAGGTCTTTAAGAACCACTGCTATTCTCCATGGGAGGAATCTTTGCTTTATTGGGTCTGGAGGCCAAGGCTCATTTTGCTCCGGATGATCGAAAAACATCTGCAAAGGCCAAAAAAGAAAAAACAAAAACAAAAACAAAAACAAAACAAGAAGTAAGAGCTGGTTTCCAGAAGGGGCAGTGTTAAAGGTTAACAAGGCATCTGGATAGGCCCCTCTCCTAGTCCCCTAGCCTCTACTACAGTGCAATCCAGAAAGTCTGGAGAGCTCAGAAAAAGAAACACAGAGACAAGAGCCCATTTTAGGTGCTGTGCTCAGGGTTGTGAACAGCAGAGAAGGCATAGAATTAGATTGATACTAGATAAGAACATGCTAGAAGGATAAAGCAGGTATCACAGGCCAATCTAGGAAGAAAGGATTGTTCAGTCACTGGTTACATAAATAGTAATTTGGGGAGAGAAGATTCAGATCATCCCTAAATACACTCTAGACTATGATTTATTATCAAAGAACACTTCATGATATGTGAAATTTCAATCAGTATAACACTACCTGGAAAAAATAGGTTGCAAAACTGTATATAATATTCTAATCAAATAAAAAAAACTTTCTTTAATATACATGTGAAAAATAGAAAGGACTAGAAACAAAACAAAATAAGGCAAACTGGGCTGGTAGAATAAGGAATGTTTTCATGTTTTACAACATCTTGTATACTCCAAAATTTCTAAATTTATATGAATTACTCTTGGTGTTGGAAAAAATATTATAAAAATATATAATATACAAAATTATATAAAATTATTTTATGTAAATTATTAAAATTATATAAATTATAAAAATATAATATGTAAAAATATTATAAAAATATAATTTTAGAAAGCTAAAAACAGAACTCTATATTTGTCAGCTCTTTCTTCTGACGGAACGCAGAAAAATAATAAAAGAAAACTTTGATAGAGTCGCTTGCATGAAAACTCCCACTTGTCTCCAAGAAAATGCTGTAATTTAAAGGAAAAAAGGAGTCCAGCTGTGCAAAGTGTAAAGAGAGTCAATGCATCTCAAAATAAACAGGCACTCCACATGAATGGACAAATCACAAAATAGAAAACATAATTAACAAGCATATAAATTATGATGACTCTTGAGAGAAACCCAAAAGGGACAACTGGCACCTAAGATGCCAGTTTATAGAATTTCCATTAGACAGCAGTTTTCAAAACGATAATACTCATTACTGAACCGGTTGTAATAGAATTGGTATATTTTGAGGGAGCAGTAGAAATTAACTTAACCTTTTTAGAAAGTAACCAGGTCACAGAATTAAGAGCTTCTGACTTGCAGGAAATAAGACAATAAATAATTGAAAGGAGAAAAAGATAACATATTTTGGTTTCCCTGCACAGAAATGACTCCCTACCTTTCACAGTTGTGGTAAGGTTTGGAAGAGGAACAATGGGATAAAGAATGCGTTTTATATATAAAGCAATATGCGCAGGCAAGAAGAAAAATCATTTTCAATTTGAAAGTGATTTGTAATGGTGAAAATCGAAGGTTAACAACTAAGCTTTTGGCAAAAGGGAAACAGTTAAACTAGGGTACCCGCATCTGCTAGAAAGAATATATATACACATCCATATAACGATATTAATTAATTTAAAATATATAAGGTAATACATAATAACAGACAATATATATAAAAAATCGTGTGTGAATTTATATAGCAATAGGGGGGAAATTCTTCAAATACTAAAAACGAAAAAAGTGAAACAGAGAACGTTATCTGTGCATACATCATTGTGAAGAAATATCTAGAAAACAGGCACATGATTGAGACCCAAAAACAGTTGAGGAGCAAGCATAATAAAGGAAGTCAAAGGGAGAGATGAGAATTCCTCTCATGTCTCCGTTTGACTTCCTTTATTATGTTTATTATGTTGGCAGAGTAATTAAGGCAAAACTCTCAGGGACAGTATTGAAAATACCTTGTGCATCAACTCCATTCCCACTATTGGGCTGATCTCGAAGCCTGTCCTAGGAGATGCAGCATTAACTGAGCTGAGATGAAGCCACAGCAGCCACAACCAGCTCCTTCCCATGACTCCTGGGAGAGTCCTAAAGTCTCTGAGGTCCCACCCCTTTTCATGTCATGTATGTTGCCTTTGTGGCACGAGTTTGTAATTATGCATGCATTCATATTATTATCCGATTGCCATCTGCCTCTAGTAAAAATGGAAACCCCTTCAGCAGAAACCTCGTCAGCCTTCTTCACTACTATCATCAATGCCTAGATGAGGGTACAGCACGTGGTAAATACTCAGCAAATTATTTGTTGAGTGAATGAAGGGCCACCAGTTCTTAAGAGGTCTGTGCTTCTCTCAGCATCACTAAAGGAAAAGGTTCTTTCTTGTCACCCTCATGAGGAACACCATGGGCAGCCCACTGTCCTTGAGGGGACACCACTTGCCTATTCTGGTGTGCTGCCATGCCCCCCAGTAAGTAAGCTGCTGGGGCATGTGACTTTGGTTTGAGTTCAGTGCAGGAACAGCAGAGGAGGGCAGCTAACACTGGTCTTCCTCCCCCTATCATCTGCTCAGAACAACTTGTCCTCCTAGGAGATAACAACCACTCCCTGCCCTTGATTTCTAAAAACAACTAGCTGAAACCAAGTAGCACAATTGTTGATGTACATCTATCGTAGGTGATGAGAATCTTCCAGAAAGAGTCACTGCTGGTCAGGAGACTGCAGCCCTGGTGAACTTCGCCCAGCTGCAGAAATCGTAAGAGTCCTCGGTCCTCCGAGTAAGAAGCTTTAGCAATCATGACCGTAGCAGCTACCATTTATTCAGAACTAGCTATGTGCTCAGCACTGATAAGCTTCGGGGTTGAGGGTCAGAGCTCTGGGATTAGATAGATCGGGGCAAGAATACAAACCATCTCTCACTAGTTACATGACCTCCAGCAAGCTATTCAACCCTCTAAAACTCAGCTTCTTTATCTATAAAATGGGAATAATAATAAAAGAGCCCATCTTGTAGGAGAGTTTAAATAATCCAGTAGGGTAATACACCCAAAGGGATCCCAACAGGGCTGGTGACAAAGATTATATGCATAATTTCATTGACTTCTCACCATGCCCTACTCTATGTGTGTCATTACCATCTCAAATTACAAATAGGGTAACTGAAATAGGGAAGAGGAGTGATTTTCTCAGAGTTAATGATGGCACTCCAAGTGCCCTGTGCTCTTCTGTCCTTTGCACCCTGCAAGGTGGTTTCCTTCTGACAAACGGACCATATCCTACCCTGTTCACATGGAGTCATACCTGCTCAGCCCCCTCACCACCCCTGGCACCAGCTTAAGTGCCCCTGGACTTTGAAAACTTTCTTGACCCCACAGAGATCGACACAACTCTACTGTACCCGTCCTGACTCTCAGGAGCCTATGTGACATTTCTCCATTTGCAGATGGGATGGCCCACCCAGACTGAGGGTTCCTTTAAGCTTTGTTTCTGCCCGCTCCACATCCAGCCGGTTCTGAGCCAGAAGCGAGATGTGCTTGGTCGCGTCTGAATGAAAGAATGAAGCTGGCTCTGTTACCACCCTTTCCCATCCCCCACATCCTTCATGCTTGGTCACGTCTGAATGAAAGAATGAAGCTGGCTCTGTTACCACCCTTTCCCATCCCCCACATCCTTCAACCGCTAGATGCAGACTCACTCACCCACCCATCACCTCCACTTGTTTGAATCCCCTTGCCAGCACTGCGCTGCAGATGTTCATTTGATGTACGGGATCTACTAAGTGATAGGGAATTTACCATCTGGCGGGGGCAACATAGAGCTAGGTGAACAGCTCTGCCTCTT